CATATTAGACATATATTCTATGATATTTTCCTCATATTTGAATAACTAAAATTGCTTAAATCATGGATTTTGATTATATTTCGTATTTTGTGGATTAGGTTGAAGTTTAGGATAAAACAAGTTCAAAATCTAACGATTAGCATGATCTTCACAAAATCCCCAAATCAAGGAAGAAAAATAGGAATTCAAGAAGTTAGCAAGACCATAAGAGGTTTTCGCATAAGGCGTGGGCACGGCTTATTCATCATGAGCTATTACAGAAGAAGTCTTCAGTTAAGGCGTGGGCACGCCTTATCAGTCTGTACAACTCTAAATTAGGGTTATGAATTTACAATGAAAAAAGAGTTTAATGATGGCTGGAAGACTCTTTTGAATTATTCTTATCTTTAGAAAAGGATGAGAACATTTAAAACTCCTATTTTTTTGGTATTTTCTTTAAGGGAAACTTCCTTATCTAGAGTAGGAAAATCCTTATAAAAGGGGAGCTAGGGCATAAGTTTTACATCAAGTTTCATTAAGTTTTCTTTAAGTTTTCTTTTGGGTTTCTTTCAATTATGAGTAGCTAAATACTTTTGTTCCAACTGGAGGATAATTGAAGTTTTGGTTCTTCAAGGATTGTGAGATCTAAATAATTTTCATTGCTCTTTTACTTCTTTGCTATTTATATATCTTCTTTTTTTATTAAGAATTATTGTCTTGATTGATTGTACAAAGGGCCCGTTGTTCAATTATCAGGTTGATAAATTGTCATTTAGAACTTTAAATCCATAATTGTTTAAACGTTCTAATATTAGTGGTAAAGTAACATAGTTGATTTTGATTATGTTATGAAGGTATATAATCTAGTCTAAATAAATCGAGCTTGTGTATTCGTTGGCTAGAATTGGTGGTCCCTCTAGTGGTTAATGATGTTGGTGGATTAAATCTTAAGAGCTTGTCTACGGTTGTTCATTAACAAGGGAAATAATCAAAGAGCTTCTCTTGATTATCAAGAAACTAAGGAGAGATAGGTTGTTAGAGCTTCTCAATAACCATAACCAATTTAGTGAAAAGTAGAAGATTTTATCATTGCATCTATGATCAATTCTCTGAACCAATTCTGAAATTATACATTTAGTTGGATATTTGTTTTATATTGATTTCTCTAAATTCTTAGTTGATTATAATTGCTTTTTATTTTTATTTTTCTCAATTTTAAAACCCCCTTTATTTAGTTTACTTTTCATTAAAATAAGTCTACACAATCCCTGTGGATTCGACCTTGCTTATCACTACTACAATTTATATTTGTAAAAGCAAGTATTATTATTTGTAAAAGCATGAGTGTACAACTGCAGTAAGCATGATTATGGTATATATATCGTTGATGTGTATTGCATGATGAATGTTTGTTTTTAATTTTTTTCGCTTGGTACGCATGATTAGGGTTTTGGATCTATCCGACTTTATCAAAATCTAATATGAAATCAGAATATCCAAGTCATCCTACGTGGCTGGGTATAGGGTATTACATTTGCTGGTATCAGATCCATGTTTGTGTATGTTTGAATGTGTGTCAAGGTGTAATTTGGGAACCATTTGCCTCGTAAAAGTTTTTATTTTTCAGGAACTTACCTTTGATCATCGGTGTCTCTCTCACTCCAGGTTTGGTTATATGCATGCTTTGATTATTAAATTTGATATTTTATACATTTAATTTATTTCCATATATATTCGGATGTGTTAATTGATTCATTTTACCTTGAATGTATTCTTTTAAACCTAATGAGTTATTGGATTTATTGTATTCGAGATTATGTAAGTGTTAATTGTTTGATTAGGCAGTCCGATTGAGTCAAGTGACGTCACTATGGTTGTTTTAGTGTCTTGGTAGTAATATCTTGGTTGATAAGGAAAATAAGAGATGTTCATAGGCGTTCCTAAGTATTGCAAATCATGTCGTTTTTCAGAATTTTCATTTTGAGGTTAATGAAATTATTTGTGTGTGAAATAGTAAGTGTGTTTATTAAGTGCATCCGAATTTCAGATTATTGTGTTGATTTTGGATTGATTTTAGTTTTGTGATTATGAATTGATTGTTCGAATTCTTTTCGTATGTTGATTTAACATTGGAGGTGAGCTAGTTGTTAAATTATGTTGAAAAAGTAACATTTGAGGTGAGCTAGTTGTTAAATTATGTTGAAAAAGTAGCTTGGTTTGGTTATTTAAATCGATTAGTAATGAGTAACATGTGTAAGATATTTTGGTCGAGCTCTAGGTGTAGTTTCAAAAGGGTTTTCAGGTTTTTATTGGAGCATAAAGTTGAGTTTTGCACCAAGAATTTTTATATGACTTTTGTGTCTGTTGTTTTTCGTCGTGTGGCATCAAAAGAATCATAAGAAATGAAGTTTGGGTTGTAAAATTCGTTGGATCATGGTTTTCTTTAGGCAAGTGTTTCCTGAAGCGTGTGTTCAAAAGAAGGTTAGTGGTTATTGCTTGGTTATCAACGTATCTCATGTTAATTAAGTAGGTGGATAGTGTAATGTGTAAGTGCATTGACTATCGTTGGCAGAACAAGTTCGTAATTTTGAATCGGTACCCTCATCAAGGATTAATATCTTATTAGGTTAAGTTTTGAGGAGCTAAGGTTTTGTCAAAGATTAATTTGCGAACGTGTTGTTAGCAGTTGATGGTTTGTGAGTCTGATCTGAAAGAAATTTATTTTCGATGCATTAAAGTTGTTATGAATTCTTGGTAATGTCGTTTAATTTGGCGAACATTCCTATTGTTTTGAAAGTTTGATTAGTTGAGTGTTTCGCCCGTAATTCACCTAGTTCTTACCGTTGTGAAAGGCTATCTTGCATGCTTTTATGTCGAAAAGGAGTGTGATCGTGTCTCTGAGATGTTATTCAAGTTCGTGCCAAAAGTAGTTAGATATAAAGTTATGTATTGTGAGTTTTGGTTTCAAGGAATGACGTTTATGGGTTGTGATGTTGCAGGTAAAGGTAACCATATTAGTTTGATTGATGCTTAAGCTGTTATGAATTGGAGTTCGTTGAGGAGTGGTAATAAGGTTTGTAGTTGTTGTGTTTGGTTGGTTTCATCATTAAGTTGTTGAAGAGTTTTTTGTTATTGTTGCTTCTTTGTTGATTTGCTTTGAAATATTTGCTTAGTTTGAGTGAACTAAAGTTCATTATTGTTTCAGTTGGATTTGGGAAACTTTTGTGATTTTTATGATGTTCGATTTAGAGTTGTTGATATATATTAATGTTAGATGGTAAGGCGGTTATATGTTTTTAAGATGGATGAGGTTATACAAGTGCAATTATCTGATGTATAGCATTGGGCTATTTGTTGTCGAGTTTTTGAAGGATTGTGAATGATTGATTGCGTATCGTTTGGAAAATCTGTGATTGTTGTCAATGTTATGAGTTAAAGTCAATGTAAGAGTTACGTGCCTCGTTGTTGGGTTGAGTATCCATATGGTGGTGTATGGTTCATTGAGTTTTGGTTTGATTGAAATTGTAACATTGTGTTTAGTGTTTGGAATGAGTTGTTCTAGATTTTGTTGTTAAGGAGTTTTTCTAGGGTTCGAAAGATTTATCAGAGTGACGTAGGGAAGCATGGTAGTTCGAGCTAAGTTGTGCATTGTTGAGATTGAGAACCTATATGGTGTTTCGTTTTGATCATTCTAGATTGTAATTTGAATTAGTGATGAGATTCAGGTATTGGTTGTAAGAAGTTTTGGGTTTGAGGATATGCTTGGTTCGATTTATGTCTCATTGATTGGTGGTTACTTCAAGGACTTATATGTTCAGAGGTGTTGTATTTTTTTATTTCGGATAAAGAGTTGGAGGGTGTTATGTTGTTGGTTTTGTTCAGTTCGCAAAGTTGATGTTAAGTAAAGTCGTTTCTTAGGCTAGTTAAGGTTGTGTTTGATTGTCGGTAATTGTGTGATAAATTGCAATGTGGTGAGATTTCGTGTTGGTTTAGTAGCTTTGTTTCCAAAAGGTTTTATCGTAGAAGAAGGTTCTGAGAGGGAAATTTACAAGAAAGAATCTAGTTAGTGGTTTACTAGTTATGAGATTGTTGTGTGTATTCGTTTTGTTGCTCATTGTCTATGTCGGTCTTTTGAGTTGGGTTATGTCTATGGTATTTCTATGTGTTGATGATTAGGAAGAATTGTTTTATTATTCATGTGAATGAAGTATGTGTTTATTTTCCCTTTGACAGAAAGTTTATTAAGATTTAGCTCATATTTCAGGTAAGAAGTTTTCTTTCGGTATGTTATAGTGGTATTACCATGACTACGGGTAAGTTACTTGTGGGTATGTTAAATTGTCATTAATTTGATCTTCGTATTTGTTTCCTTAAGTTAATTTCGAGGATGAAACTATTTTTAGGAGGGGAGAGTTTTAACATCCCAAAATTCATGTAAGTAGAATCATGCTTATAATCGGGTAATATTCGTGATTTTTGACAAAAATATTATTTTCAAATTTTGAAGTTGGAAATATTTCTAATATATTTCCAAATGAGTTTTTAATATTAATTGTGATTTTTAATAAGTTCAATTGAATTATTTAAGTGATTAAATTATATTATTTTTATGATAAGAGAATTAGGTGACTAAATCAAATGGTTTCAAAATCTTAAAACTCTATAAAGCAATTTCACCAAGGTAGTGATTGTTCTCTTTTTCTCTTAATTCCATAGTGTTTTCTTTCATCCTTATCTATGAATTGTACTATGTTATTTTATTAATCAAAATTTTATTACCCAAAGTAAAGTTTAAGTACAACCAATCAACCAATCAACAGTAAAAAAAATCAAAAGAAATCGACATATACAAAAAAGATTGGTTAGACTATACCCCAAAAATCACAAAGCTTAAGATTAGTACTATCAAGTCTATTAATATTAGTACCCCTAAGACGGATCCCAACAACGTCTTTAACTTCCTTGAGCAAGCATTCCACCATTCTATGACGTCCCAAGAAGATTCTTTGATTTCTTTCCTGCTAGATGAAGTAAAGAAATACAGTCCAAGAAATTTTCAAAATGGTGGTAAGGAGTGACCTTCCTTTCCATGTAGAAGAAGCCTTTGAAACCATTTCAACCCATGTCATGGAAGATGAATTCATCCCATTAAGCTTCAGAATAGCATTCCAGAGATCTGCTGCCAGTGGGCATTGCATGAAGAGGTGGTCCCTTGACTCCATATTAGTGTCGCAGTTTACACAGTGGAGATCAGTGCAAATTCCCATTGTATTGAGTCGGTCTCTAGTTGGCAACCGGTTGAGTATTATCATCCAGGCAATCAAACTTAACTTTGGAATGTGTAATGGGAACCAAGTTAATTTGTGCCAAGTTACTTTCTGTTCTTTGAATCGGATCAAGTTCCATATGTCCCTTGTTTGCACAGGATTGGATAAAATAATTGGTGAAGCTTCTGTCCGCAATTTTAAAAGCCTTCTTATGCTCCACCTAACGTTTACACCAGCTTGATACTGCCAAAATTCATGTTCCTTGAATACATAAGCTTTTAGCCAAGCTACCCATAGAGAACCATTGCCTGTAAGAATTTTCTGAATGAGACTCAGCAGGCATGCTCTATTCCAAGTTTTAATATTTTTCAGTCCTAGTCCTCCTTCGGATTTAGGAACGGTAATTTCCCCCCAGCTAATTCTTGCACCAGCAGCAGATTTATCTGCTCCTTTCCAGAAAAATCGGGAGCAGATTTGTTCCACCTTTTTAAGGATTGAAGCTGGAAGAACAAGTTGCCTGCACCAGTAATTGCTAATATTGAATAAAACAGAATTTATGAGTTCTAATCTCCCTGCGTAGCTGATATTTCTCCCGGACCAGATGTGAAGCTTACGTTTAATGTTATCAATAAGAGCTTGGCAGTCCTTCTCGGTTAGCTTGAGGGTAACTAGGGGAATTCCAAGATAGTGAACATGTAAAATTCCGACTTGAAAACCTGTGATTAGTTTTACCTTCTCAATGGTTCTAGCATGAATACCCGCAGAAAAAATTTCACATTTAAAAGAATTCAACTTGAGTCTAGAGACTTCATAGAATTGATCAAGAATACTAAGGACTCCAACCACTGATTCAATATTTCCTTTGCAAAAAATTAGAAGGTCGTCGGCAAAGGAGAGATGAGTAAGACCAATTTTCCTTGTTTTTGGATGAAATCCAAATATACCTCTTTCAGCTGCCAAGTTAAGCATTCTTGATAAGATATTCATAGCAAGCACGAAAAGGTAGGGGGAAAGAGGATCTCTCTGTCTTAGACCTTTAGCGCCTTTAAAATATCCAATAAGAGTCCCATTGAAAGAAATCGAGAATCTTGTTTGTGTGAAACAAGCTTCGATCCAAGCAATGAAAGTGTGAGGAAGATTAAGAGTTTTGAGAATATCAAAAATGAATCCCCAATGGATGGAATCGAAAGCTTTATGCAGGACGATTTTTAGAGAACATCTCGGGGAAATAATCTCTTCCATAACCTTTAACCATCTCTTGAGCAAGGAGTGTATTATCAATTATGTTTCTTCCTCTAATGAAAGCAGTTTGATTCAAGGATATAATCTCAGAAAGGAAATCAGTGAATCTTCTCACAATGATTTTTGTGATAATCTTGTAAATCACTGAACAACAGGAAATTGATCTAAAGTCTTTTACACCACTCGGATTCGGAATTTTCAGAATAAGAGCAATTATAGTAGAGTTAAAAGTCGGATGAATAGAACCATTATGAAAGAAAAATTTTACTGCTGGAATAACATCCTCACCCACAATAGACCAAGTAGACTTGAAGAAATAGGGAGAAAATCCATCAAGTCCAGGGGCTTTATCATTGCCTTGGCTAAAAATAGCTTTTTGATTTTCCTTTTCATGTCTAACAAAACTTCCTCTTTCAAATGCCCATCTCCTTTGCTGATTTTTGATTCACTTTTGATCATCCCTTTCTAAATTTTATAATATTTCCATCTTCTTTAATCATCATTTTTGGTCGATTCTTCTTAGAGGTATCTTAGACTTCTTCTCCAACTTCATATTCCATCTTTTCCATCTTATCTCCTTCCATTTCCAGCAAAGTAAGCTTATTTCCTTGGTTTCCTTAAGCTTTGTTGATTAAAAAGATTTTGATATCAATGGGTAATACATGATTGCATAAGTGATTTGGTAATATTTCATTTTGGAATGATTTTCAGAACAAATAAAAGGGGTATTTTTTTATTTCTATTGATTCTTAATGGATTTAAGATGCTTAAAGGTTGATTATAATGTTATTAAAATAGTTTTTCAAATGGATTTTATTTCAATTTTGATTTGAGCAAGAAATGATGATTTTAGTTATTTTTTGGAAATCTGGGAATGTTTGTGTTAGCTGTTATTTTTGGTAGATTTATTGGGTTTTAAATCAAGTTTTTGATTGTTTAGGGATCAACTTAAGTGTTAGGAAGAAAAGATTCTCAAGTTAGAATGTTTAGATCGCGTGGATGGTTAGGTTTTTGGATTCTTTGTTCGATTTTCGTTCTGTTTTATAAGCAGAATTTTCTGCTCTGTTTTGAAGGGTATTGTGACATGTTGAATTGATTTATAAGGAACCTAATGTGTGTATGTTTGCTAAAAATGGTGCATCAATTGTTGGTGATCATTTGGTTAGCGTTTGGGGTCAGATCATATGGTTTCGTCACTGAGGTGAGTGCCTGTCCATTCACTTGTGATGAATGTGCTTAATGTTGAATGAAGTTTAGTATGTGTGAACTTTAAATCTAAGGTTCTAAATTTTTTTAATTGTTGTTTATAATTAATGATGTAAATCCATGATGTTTGATTTAAGTAAGTGATTATAAAGAGCATGTATTTTATGACATGATTTGTGGCATTGAAAGAATATGATTTATGCAAGCATGTGTAATATGATAAGATGATCACGAGTTGTGGTGTATTGCAAGCATGTATATTTAAGTATGTTAATTATGAGCTATGATGAATTGAATATGAGTGGTTATTGCAAGCATGTACATTGAAACATGATTTATTATGAGTTATGAAGCATGAGATGTAAGTGATCATTGTGAATGTACATGTATCATGATGAGCTGGTTATGAATTATGATGCTTTGGAGGAATGTGATTTATGGAAGGTGAACTGGATATGTGATACGATTTATGATATGTGGATTGCATAAGTTGCTTTTGATGCATAACCGTTTTGGAAAATTATGTTTCAAGCCTATGTGATATTTAGCTTAGGGATGAGTAGAGACAATCTACTATCCATGGACGAGTGGAGACACTTCGTTGTCTAAGAATGAGTGGAGACACTTTACTATTCTATTTGGGTTGATCATGACAACCATCCTTCGTTTGTAAAATTATGTTTAAGAAAATATATATGTCTATGTTATGCATCGATTGTTAACTACTCGTGATGAACTTGGATTGATTGACTGGGACCTTTGGATATGAAAGGCATACCTAGGAAAGAGAACTCTATGTTTTTTATAAGTATATGTGTAAAGGTAACGAGGTAAGGTTTTGCTCCAAGAAGATTATACGAGGTAAGGTTGGTGCGTTGAGATTTGCTCCAAAATGTGGAAGTTGGGACCTATGTGAGTCCAAAATAAAAGGAGTGGTATGGAGTCCGTTTATCCAATGAGTACTTGTGTTTCGAACAAATGCCATTGATCTTATATGGAAACAAATGTGTGTTGCGTGTGAACATTCCAAGAAAGGTAATTGTGCATGAGTGTATGTGATTGACAGAAGTGAATATGTTGTATTTAAGCATGTTTATATTCTGTAATTTGTTTGTAATTATGGTGCATTAAATAGCATTGAATCATGACATTATGGTATGATCCTTGAGATAAAAACAAGTGAGGTTTCATGGCATATAGGTTGTTTTCCTTTAACATTGACATGTGCATCATACTTGAATGTTTAGTCATTCGCTGAACTTTATAGCTCACACTCGTTGTTTTGATTTGAGAGCTTGAGAGGCAAGTCACTTGGTGATGATCAAAGAAAGGAGGCATTTGTAAATTTATTTTGAACCTTGATTTCATTTTGAGGCAATATGGAATCCTTTATTTGGATATGTGTTGGCTTGTACATTTGCTACTTGTTAGTGCACAAGTGACCTTTAATGACCTATGTTGAACTTTGATCCTTGAATATATGATGAAATGATATATTTTGATGTTGAATTTCATGTTATGCAATATGTTCCAGTATGCCTTAAATGACCAAATGTTGTTATATGCCTTAAATAAATGCTTTAACCATTTAGACAAGTGACATTAAGTGAACTTAACTTGTTAGGCCTTTAGGATGCATAAAATGACCAATGATGCACAAAATGGTTAGATTAATTACGTTAGCTTTTTATGCAATTATTGACTTTGAATGCCAAATCTTTGTATGTTATATTAAATGATGTTATGGAGCATGCTACATATGTATTATGACATGTTCTAAGTGGTTTAAGCGTGTCCAAGCATGTTCGTAGACCCTAGGATCAATTTCATGACCAATTGGATGCATATTCTTGCTCATTAATATGCATTTTCTTCATTTGTTTAGAAAAATGACTGATCCCTTGCTCAAAAGGATCGATCCCTTCAAGCAAATAATCAATCCCTATCTCCATTTTTAGTTACTGTTTTGCAAAGGATTGATTTCTGTGAAAAGGGATTGATTCCTTCATTGTAAGATCGATAAAAATATGTAAAATTACATTCATTAAAGTCCTAAAGTTTTCCCCAAGTCCTTGGATGGTTCCTAAATTTTTAAAATATATTCAATTTGGTCCAGAAACTTGATTTTGCGATTAATGATTCATTTTAAGTCAGATTTTGTTGAAATTTGTTCTATGACTCTATATATCACTAATTTAATAATGTAGATTTCAATTTCATGTTTTTGTTTTATTTTCATATTTTGAAAAGTTTATGTTTTAGTCCCTAAACTAAGCATGTTTAATTAAGTCCCTAAATGATGTCAGATTAAGCTCAAATTTTACAAGTGATTAATTAAAGGTTAGAAATACATATTGGTAAGTTTAAATTTCTATTTTCCATGGATTTTATAATGACATGTGAAATGATTATTTTACCCCTACATAGTTAATAGTGTTCATCTTGCGATGCATGAGTGTACAACTGTCGTAAGCATGATTATGGTATATCTATCATTGATGTGTATTTCAAGATGAATTTTTATTTTTAATTTATTCCACTTGGTATGCATGATTATGGCTTTTGATTTGTCTGACTTGATCGAAATCTAATGTGCACTCATAATATATGGGTCATCCTGCGTAGTTGGGTATAGGGTGTTACACGAAGCCTCTAAATCAATATATCTCCTAGTCAACTACAGTCTCTTGAAGTGACATCTAGTAGATCCTCGCGATCATGACAATATAATTCTACTATCCGACAGTCAGATCTATTCACTGTGTTAACCTATGAATAATCATTATCATCCTAAGCCTGATACCATCACTAAGGGTTTGTATATAAGCCACCATATAAGGCTGGAGAAGGAAACTCAGACTCTCTCTCTCTCGAACTAGTCATCACATTTCTGAGCTTGTTTATTTTCTACTTTCTTCACATAACCACCAATTGTGACTCTATCTCCTAATCAGAATAAGTGAACCTCTACCCCAACCTTATTTTTCTTATCAATAGTAATCAACTTTAATTAAGCATTATCGTACATGCTCAAGTAATTTAAAATGTACCTGAAATAAAGCTCAACACTTAAAAAAAAATAAAAGGGTAAATGGTAAGAATTGTCACTTTTGTTCAGTTTTGCTAACTAATTCTATAAAAAGTTAAATTTAATTACTTACATTATCGATTTGTTATATTTTAATCATTGAATCATTAACTCTCATTAATTTGATAATATGTCACATTAGTGAAATAATTAGTTTTAAATTCATACTTCTATATCTTTAATTTTAATTACTTATTGTTAATTGATTTTAATTTAACAAATACTTTTATTGATATGATATATAACATGTCATATTTTAAACTATTAATTATATATGAAAATGTTATGTCAACATTTCAATTCACCTGGATTTATCTCGTCAGATAGAATAGTTAATTATTAATCAATCAATGGTTTTTTCAAAAAATAAGTTGTACAAATTAATCATAAAAAATTAAAAAGAATATATATAATTATTCGTTTAAACTAGAATATTGAATTTTAGTTTTATGACGGTAAAATTGTCATAAACCTTGAAATTTAGATGAATTTAAAATTAAAATAGGAAAGAAAATAGAGTGAAATTTAGAACAACCAATTGGTCTAGTAGGATGAGGCACTAGGTCCCTTAAGTAAGGTCAGAGGTTCGAATCCTACCGTTTGCGATGGAGTAAACTGGGTTGGGAGGGTCGCCCTCGCCTCTACAATACCCGATCTAGATTAATCGATCAATAGATTAAATACCAGTGATTAATTAAAAAATCTA